GTTTATAACGTCTGTGCGGATTTTCTAGTTGTAGGTATAGGTACCGAGACGTAGGTACTTTTCTGCGTAGGTTTACCTGCATTGCGCTTTTTGTTTTGTCTGCATTCTTTTCAAGTCGGGAATCTGGGGCACATCTCTACCTGGAGGACAAAAGATTTTTAATTTTAACTGTAATGCTCAAATACCCTCCTCTGGCTTTGCCGCATTCAGTGAAAATGTCCATTTTACCTGAAGTTTATAAACCGGCATTAGGCGTATAAGTTTTATACCTGTGCGGAGCGTTTTTCCATCTCAAAGGTGTTGTAAACTGCGTTAACAATCGAGTTACAGCTAAGTAATGGAAATTTTCCAAAAATTTTATGATTAAAAGTTTATTTTTGATGAATTTTGAGGTTAGGTGAATGTATGTATTATTTTGTCGAGTCGTGTATTGCTGGTTGCTTAGTATATGTATTATTCTTGTAGATTCGTGTGTTGCTGGTTGCCTAGTTGCTTTAGTGACGATAAAAATGAATAATTTTTGTTTACAGGCGCGCTGGTGCGGCGCGTTAGCGAAGACACGATTTGCAAACACCCGCCCGGCGAAGCTGCAGTGTGATAAGCATGTACATATACATTTCATTTGAAAAGGGAAGAAAAAAATTCAAAACAAATAAAATTTTACAGATTACAAACGCGCGCGCGTGTGTTTAATTTTTTTTTTTGCGTTATTGTGTAATCTGAAATTAGACGAGGCGATTATGAAGAATGCGAAGTATTTTATGAAAATGCGGCGGAGCGAAGCTTGAAAAACGAAAATAAGGAGAGAAAAAATTAAACTGAAAAACGAATTGCGAAGGTACGTATAGAGCAGATTTGAATTGAATAAAAATAGGAAGATTATGCGTGCGCAACCGAACGTTAAGCTTGTGCTAAACCCACAAGCAAAGAAAATCGGCTGAATATTAAAACCCACATGCAAACTCCGATAATTGCACATCTGTTTTATTGAATTTGATTTTCAACACGGCGATTGTGAGCAAATAGAATGAATTTTAATTTTTTTAGATTTTTTGCGTTTTTTGGTTTTAAAATTATTTGTATGTACTTTTTGCTCATGTAAAATGTGTGAGTAACTTATGTTGAACGTTGTGGAGCGTTAAGAAAGTGTTAGTTGTATACAGGTAAATACAGTGAACGAAAAATGCTAGCAATGCGGCTAATGTGCGCTCGGCGAGCGAGCGATTTTCGGGCCGGAGCGCGATGCCGGTCGTCTCCGCACTCTCCGCGGTCGGCGTGGCGGCGATGGTGGGGATGGAGGGATGGGCGTAACGCTCCGGTTGCGCCGTGCGCCGCGTGCTCCTCGCGCTGCGCGCCGAACGCCGCCCGAGCGTCGGTATTTTCCTCGGCGCGCCGGATCCCCCTTTTTAGTACGCATTTAGCTCAGTATTTAGAGTGATATGTTGTGTTACGTCATTTTCACTCGCAGGACTTTTTCGTTTCGACTCGCTGCGAGTGCCACCGCCTGGTAATATCGCACGCGCCGCGCGTTATCATCCATCCGTCGTCGTTCGGTTCGGTTCTGAAGAGACACATACACAACGACGTCTTTGGTGCGCACTTCGACGACGTATCGACGCGCGGGCCGGCATTAGTTTTCCACATCCCGGCACGGCGGCCGAAAACCACCGAGGAGCCCCAGTGTGCGGTCGTGCGAGCGCGTAGAAAGACACATTCGTGGCGAGAGAGCGCGCGCAGTGGTGAAATCGCTGCCCGCCAGAAGGAGGAAGACGCGCACGCAGTAGTAGCCCTTTTCGCCGCTCTGATTGAAGAAGTCTCCGCGCGGGTTCGCTTGCGTGCGGAAGGAATTCGCCTGCGTGCACGCACTCGCCGCCAGCTCAGATCGACGCCGAACGCCGGTCGAGCGACAACAATACACACGACCTCGCACCAGCAGCGTAAACAAACTCGGTCGCCATAACAACGCGAATAAACGACCGCCCGTGTGCCACTAGTGCAGCCCCGCGACGACCACGACACGCGCGCATAGAGTTTTTATTTTTTTATTTTATTTTTAATTATTTTCACGTCGTGCGGCGCGCTCACCACGACGACAAACGCGCAGTGCAGCAGCCGAAGCTAACAAAAAAACAAGATTAAAGCAAAAGAAAACGGAAACAGCAGCCAGTAATAATAATTTATTTGTTTTCTTTTGATTTATTTCGGAATTATTTGCGCGGAAAACGAAAGTGAGAACCACCACACAAGTGTAAAACGTGCGAATTGTGCCTAACCACAGCGAAACCCGCAAGCACGCAAGGAAAATAAGGATATTTGCATTCGCATCAATTACCTACACACTACCAGCAGCTACTGCCAGCTAAACTATTGAGCACATTTTGAGATACTTGCGACATCGTGGCGACCACGGAGAACGGGAAAATGGAAAAGTTCCAAGATATCGAACAGGAGGAGGATCAGATATTCGAGAGTGAGGATACGCAGGAACCTAGGTGAGCATTACAAGCATTACGCGGCGTCGAAATTAGCTTCGGCCATTGGAACAAAATGCCGGCTAGACCGGCTAGACACGCAAACAAACAAACGCGCATGCTAGTGAAATCTAGCGCTTCGTCTAGGAACTAACAGTTGACGCGTCTAGGAACGCATGGCGTGTCGAAAAACACGAACCGGTTTTCGGTGCCTGTATTATTTTTGGGTCGTTATTTAATTTCGTGTTTGCTTTTCGTGGTCAGCGTGGACACATTGAGCACCTGTCTGCTCACTGAATTTTTAAATTTTGTTTTTGACAATTTTTTCTCACCAAAACAGAATTTAATCAAAATTTAATTTCTTAAAGAATTATTATTATATCTCGAATAGTTTTCGTGTTATTTGTGATTATATAATTCATTTTAAATTCCGGAGAATACATTGACTTAAGATAAGTCAACGATTCCGTTCTTCGCATGCTCCGTTGACTTTGCTCGTCGCTGATTGGCTGCGCAATGAAAAATGCGTGCGTGCGTGTCTTAACTATTTTATTCTAGTTAAATTCGGTGATTTTGAATTTTAAATTATTTCTGAATGAGATTTGCGTCTTGTGTGAATGAACACGCTCGACAACTCGACATCGATACACCACACCACGTGTGCGGCATTCAGATACGCGGGTGTACCTGTACCGGTTTCGTTTTGCGCCTGTCGATTCACCAGAATGCGAATGCGAAGGTGAAGGTGAAGATGAACTCCTGAATGACAACGCTCCACGCTAACAATTCGTGACTAATTGTATAATGGCAAGTTGGTTGCCTACATCACGACCATTCTCAAGGTGGTTGTGAGTAAAGCCTCTCTTGTGATGTTCTTGACTGGCAGGAGCCGTCTACTTTTGAGCTGGCTGCGGCGCGGCGGCATTGTTTGTCTTTGGATTTCTTCTGTTCGTTGCAGTTTTCGGGCCGTGGGGCGCGATGGGGTTGTTTTATTCGATGCGGCCCGTGCCAAGGCTCACCTTGTGTGTGTGTATGTGTGTGAGCGGCAGGTGACTGCTGGCGTGTGTCCAAAAAAAGGAACACCGAATATCGTTGTATGTATGTATGTGTGTGTGTGTGCATTGCTGATGAATGCGTTTTTGGCCCACCTCGCAGCTGCTCCTACCGCCGAAATACGTACGCACCAATTAACTCTCCTGCTTTAATCGTTTTCTTCGTCTCGCGAGCACTCGCAAACTGTTTCTTCGGGCTTCTTCATGTTGTGCACGTGCGCGTATGTGAGATATGTCGGTACTCGAGAAGAATCACTCAAAAGAAGCAAAGAAAACAATTTTTGTGGGTAAAAAGGATAAAAACAGTTTTATTGTAAATTTTTGGCGATTGACAGATGGACGAAGAGGTCATTGACATTTCGAACGGTATTTGATCGAATTTCGCGTGCACAAAGCAAATTTAATCAATCAGTAATCAGCGCGTAGGGTTACCGCGCGTGCCCGGTGGCGACCATTATCAAATTCGGTTGCTGCTGCGGGTGCGATACTCACTTTCGAGCTGCGCTGCTGAGACTTTGTGTACCCAGCCGACCGTTGGTTAATGCGCCGCACCGCAGCCGTAAAGGGCCAATGAACGGGAATTACTGCTTGTGTATTTTTTTTTTCCGGCTGAAGCACCGTTTCCCGAAGTTCGCGATTGCGTTCCGTATTGTTGGCGCTTGCTTTTTCGGCAACCTTTGGCTTGTTGCGCGCGTACCGCGCTCGGGCGCTTCTCACCCCTGCGCCGAAAAAAGCGAGCAGAAGGCGCACTCGTTAGCATACACCGCTGCCTGCCGCTGCCGCTGCCGAAATTCAAACCTAAACCGAAAATACGTACGTGCACGCATTGAAACTGTGTGCACACGATTCGGCGCGGGGCGAACGCAAGCGGAAAGGCAAGAGCCCGAAACTGGGAACCGCGCCGCGCCGGAGGACCCAACTTGCGAGGAAAAAATCAATACCAAAGTTACGCGGTGCGTGTGCGGGGCAAGACAGAAACGCGCCAACGACATAAAGAATCGCGGCGCGCAAGAAAAACGTACGCACTCACTTTTTACGTGCGCGCCACTATTTCGATACTGAAACCAAATAACACGTATGAAGCATATGGAAGATTTATTGCTTTCCTTATGACCCGAATATGGCCGAAATAGGAAAATTGCTAAAACGCTTTTCGCGTTTATTGCGCGTGCTATTAAAGCGTGAGCACATAAGCAATCGTAATCTGGCGTCAAGTCCGCAAATTAACTGGAAGCGGTAAATTTAATTAAGTTTTCGGACACCTGCTTAACTCTTAACAACTTCCCGCTTACACAAGAATCAGAAAATTGTTTTTTCGGCGCTTCTTTTACAACGCACTGAAATGTTCAAGTGGTAGGCAACCAACAATACACCAGCGCGTGTCTATGAGGTCTATGATCGTAACTTTCCACTTCCATACTTCTAACGCGAATGCAGTTGGAATGCACGCATTCCAAGCGAGACGGATGCTGTAGGATCAATGTAATTATCGGGTCGTTAATGTCGGTATCATCAATTTGTCCCGTGGAATTAACATAAGTTTAAGTTGAGCGGCGCGTTGTGGACGTCCTTGTCGTGATTTGACTTGCGCGCTCGCGAGTTAGTAACAGGACTTAAGTAAAGTAAGGCAAGTTTACTCTCATATACAAGTATCGTGTGCAGTAAGTTAGCAGGCGCCGTGGTTCTGCTACTGCTGTGCGCGCTGAGTGCGAAGCGGGCCGTCGGTAAGCGATATCGTTATAAAATGTATCGCGCGGTGTTTTGTGCGCAGTGACGCGCTTTTGTGGTACCCGAAAACCTAACCTCCGAAAAGAACACAGCCGCGAGTGAGTGAGAGTGTGAGTGAGCGGGGAGAGCCGAACGTGTGTGCCGACACCGTTGACGTCGACATTCTTGCAGATAAAGAATCGCGTATTCATACGCACACACACACACGGAGATATAATACACAAGCGCGCGCGCCGCACACGCCGGTTCACGCAGGGCGATGCATAATTGAGTCCGCGAGACCCACCATTCGGTGATTCGGCCGAGCGCAAGATACAACACGCTTCGTCGTCGTAGCAGCAGCGGACGTCGTCGTGCCGTGTGTGTTCACATTCCTCCTCGAGACAGTTTGTGTGTGTTGTACGCCGAAAAACCAAACCTAGAGTGCGTGTGTGCTGCGTGGTGGACTTTAATGACTTGATATCGCGCGCGCCAACGTAATCATCGTGTACACCGACGCCGGGCGGTAATCGTAAACAATTGTGAATCATTGGGACGCGCAAGCAGGAAGAGGGCTCAGTTGTAAGTCAGTCACTAAGCAAGATTTTAACAGCGGGGCAGAAGCAAACACATTTTCAAATGATATTTTCAACCGTTTATTATTATAAAATGAATTTCCGTGATGATAAAATGAAAATTATTGCAGTTATCGTTACTTTTTGCTGATAGGAAACGTGTTTCCGGCGCGCGTTTACGTTTTTAAGATGCAAGCTTACTCAGTGCTTTATTTTGTACAATTAGATTTTAGTTCAACGACCCCCACCCTGCGCCGACGGCTGCAGTCTAGCGCTAACTAAACTCAGTACACATTTAGGTACTTGTAGCAAAAAATCAGTAAGCGTAATTACGAAAAATAATCGCTACATGCGTAAACATTGGTTACATTTGATTAGCTTTCAGTTCTCGTATTATGTAATTGATTAGGAACAAGGAACGAGCGCGCACGCCGCCCGATAAGGTTGTTATTTATAGAACGGCCGGCGGTTTTCAACTCCTTCAATTACTGGATCGCGCGGGCACTTCATGAATTAAGTGGCCGAGGAATGTTCGACGGCGTTTTTCGGCCGCTCTCTGCGCGCCCGTATTTCGATGATATTTTTTCGATAATCGTTGATAACGCGCCCGGGGCCAACGTTCAACTTGTGTGTTGTGTGCGGTGTGGTCATTCATGAATTTTGATCGGCGATGAAATGCGTATGAATTAGCGCGATTTGATCTAAATATCTAAAAGTTACTTGCAGTGTGCTATTTGCGTAGTGCAGGCGCTGCTAGACTTGATTATTTGTATCTATTTATATTCTTGGCAAGTTTGCGAGACGCACTTTGCGTACGCCGCTGGTAATTTTGAATTTTTCAGAGATTAATAACAAGCAGAAATAGCTTTTCTTCGTCTGGTGGCTGGCAGGCAGGCAGGCAGGCGTAGGGTAGCCGTGCGTTTCCGTTTTGAGTCTGCATTTTTCTGCTCCAGTTTTTGTTGCTCATATTTAAAATCCAGCGCGTGCTGGTCGTCTGTGCGTGTACGTATTGAGCAAGTCCCAAAAAAACATGCAAAAAAACACGACTGACTGAAGATTGCGCTTGGTGTGTGCTGCTCCCCCTGATCTCTCGCACGAGCCTTCTGGTACGGGCCCGCACGCGTCCGGAGAAAAAAGTGCTTCAAGTCTTCTTTCGGCGCGCGCTGACGTCTTACGCCCAAGATTTTATATTAAACGATGCGGCGAAAAGGGTGCGATCCAGTTTGTCCAGTTTGCGTGCTTTTTTCGGCCCGGCACGCGTCACAATGCAGGAAAAAAAAGACGCGAATCGAATATAAAAAACAAGAAAATGAAATATGTCCAGAGGTGTGTGTTGTGCGCGCTGCTCGCTTGGGGTAGGTATATCCCCCCAGATTGAAGATGCCCGGCTCGTGTCAGTGTCAGTCCTCTGCACGAGCCCCGCACGCACTACCGGATGGAATGGGATTTAATCCCGATGCGGGGCGCAAAAAAGTGGACCAATGGTCAGGCTCGATGTGTGCCGCAGAAGGAGCATGTTAATTTGGCAATCGTTTTGCACGCGCTTGTATTGTGCTCATTAAATGTATTAGGTATTTATATATCTCCCGTCCCACACGACGGGGTTAAGTATTTGCTTCGGCGTGCGCCGGGTTTAGGGTAGCTGTATGTTTTTTTTTTTTTAATATCTTGGAGTTTGTGAGTGACCTGTGTTTGAATTGGCGTGTGTGTGGAACTGGACGTTCATCTTAACAGCACATTATTCTGGATTAAAAGGGTAGACGGAATAAAACACGGGAAGCGAATGAAAAAAATCGACATACGTTATAATTCATCTTTGACGTACAGCGAATTCTGCAAATGGAATGAACAGTTAAATTTCAGTTAGGTGCAAACAATTTGTTATGAACAATTGATTCGGTGAATCATAGCGCCTGCCTACCTTTTCACACCTTTTCAATTCGCCAGACAGGAATGTTGATTGTTATTGATTAGTTTTTATTGTTTTAGTCACTAATATTTTTGCATGCTTTTGCGAATGACAGAAAAGTTATCATCATCTTGCGGTCGTATGCAGAGCGTATTTTTATTCATTTCATGCACCAGTCACTTCAAGAAGTGTATAACTTGACAAATGAAACTTTTGTTTGCGAAATAAATCAAAGCGGGCACAAGAACCACAAAGAAATGCCGCGCAGCATTTTCCGCTTTATTTTCCTGCTCGTAGAAGTGGTGCTTTATTAATTTTCCACCACAATATATCTTGTTGAGCGTGTTTTACTCTGATAACACTGGCGGCCGAATGAAAACAATTAGCTCCGACGTATTATATGTAACAACAAGTATTGTTTCGCATTATTTACGCACATCGCCGACAAACGTTTTCGTTCTTTTCTTGTGTGCGCTGTGCTTCAGCGCGACGCATGCATGATTATAATGAGTAATATAAGTAAAACACTTTGCGATAACTATTAGGGCGGCTGCAATAAATACAAACAAACGCTGGAGGCGAGTTCGTTGTACGGTGCGTCGCCGGCAAACGTCGAGTGAACCAATTTGTCGCATTGTTTTCGCACATTCAATCCGCATAATTGCCTTTCGTCCTATCGCACCGCAGCATGTCGTGTCTCGAAATATCGAACTCGAAATACAAACAATAATTACTCGTAAGTGCCCACGGAGAGCTCACTACGAAGGAGAATTAAAAATTGGTGCGAAAACGTTTTAATTACTAAACTTGTTCAGTTTATCAGTATCAGCGTAAACTTACACACACTCTTCAGATATTTTTTTCAATCGTACGGTAGTGATAAGACTAATCAAATTAACAGTTTTATGAATGGAATGATTGCTGCTGGCTGGCAGTGCTAGGAAAGTAATAATTTTACTTGTCGCAGTTGTGTGATTACGTTTCCCAAAATGTCAAATTTATCGCGACTGTACCGTTGGCGCTCACGGCTTTCGAACACTCTGTGTTGATAAGGGAAAGTGGGTCGCTCAGCGCCGAGTGCCACATCGTGTCGGAGTAATGCATACGCGATAAATAAATAAAATGTTAGAAATCAGCGGCATTGAACTATTTATGAGAGTTTTCATTTCGAAAATATATTTTGCGCAAAATTATTAATAAGCAAAAGCCATTTGTAACCAATGTGTGAAGAATACGCGTGACTTTAACGCGATTACGTAAATTATACACGAGGAAATCGCAAGGCGTTCATGCGATATAAAATTGTACTCATTATATTCCATAATTTATGCTGAAAAGTGTTTATTCAGCTTTTATTCGCTCGAGGGGAAATCGCGGTGACAAAATAAAGCACTAGTAGGAAATTTCGTGAGACGTGGCGCGCTGCTTTCAGTTATCATAATCAATTTTACTTTTGCCTTATGTGTTTGCTCGCGTCCACGTAAGTTGTTAAAATCTCAGCTACAGGATGTTCGATTTCTCCGCCATGACGATTTCTGTGCACTATCATTGTACAAACGTCGTCTAGCTCTAGCAATGCTCGAGTTTTGGGGAAAATCAAACACTCTGTTTGGCAAACAATAAATCGATATTTATTTATGATATGTGTGCTTATCTCGAAGTGTAGTGGCTCGGAAAGACTGAAAGTACCGAAAGCGCAGTGCGGCTGTAGTGCGCGTAGTACAGTGCGAAACAATTCCGGAGTGAATCTCGCCGTTCGGAAGGAATTTTCTGTAATTATTCGAGTGTGGTTAATGGAAGCATGATGCATCCTCAGCAGTACGCGGTGCAGCAAGTGCAGCCGGTGCATCATTACACATCGGCTGGACAGTATTTGAATCCAACGTTGATGCAAGTAGCAGCGACGAATCGAGGATTTCGATTCAATGCATTGTAGGTATCTTTTATCAGTGTTTACTTAAGATATTCCGCATTGCATAACCAAATCTATTTCATACTGGATGGTGCGTTTTTTGTTACCATTCGTACGTGAATTAAATTAAAAGGTGTACAAAACGTTAATGATGATAATTTGTGGTTGCGTGCACGCTGCGCGCATACACACTTATGTCTTCTTGTACCTACCGGAGGTATTTATAACCAGCTTTTAAGGAGCACGCGTGTTTGGACATTAAAAAATAATCCATAACGTCTTCTCCCGAATGAAGAATGATGAGTTTTTGGGGACTCGCGCACACCCATCTCCTTGCGAACTGGTTTTCTTTCAGTTTATTGATAAGTGAAGCCCCGACAGGGGCCATTTATATAATGTACGATTATGTGTAGGTACATAAAGTACCTACCTACCAATTATTGCATAAGAAAAACGAGCAATGCCCAAAAGCTTCGGTTAAAGACCGAAGCATTAATATGAACGGAAGTTTTGCGCGAAATTAAAATTTCATTGGCTGTGAGGTTTCGCGTAGCATTGGTAATTAATCTGATGTCGACAGAAAAAATACTAATTGAAACAAATTAAGCGCACAGCAGGAAGACGAATATTCCTTAGTTGGTGTTCTTGGAAAGTCTGATTGTAATAAAAAGCCAGCGATATTTAACACTTGTGAAAACATTTTATTGTTTAGTCTTGTCGTTGAAATTGCGATTCTGCAGTTTGCGATAAAAAATGCAGGTTTAACACCGGCCGAGCAATCCGAAACTGAGACATATTGCAATTGTAATAATCTTATTTGCAACCTGATGCATTTTATAACGGCCAACACGTGCTGGTCGAAAGGACAACTCTTGTGTGCGTGCGTGTGAGTTTTATTAACTTGGCCTGTTTTTGTTTATTGTTGCAGTACTACATCAAAAGTCATAATTTCGAATCTGGCGCCGCATCTGCGCTTCGAAGACATCGAACACTTGTTAACGCCGCACGGCACCGTCGTCAACGTCGACAAGCTGACATCGAAAGATCCGCAAACGCAAACCGTACAGATCACCTTCGAAACGGTGGAACAAGCTCAACTGTAAGTTTCAATTTAATCTTAATTTTTCGTTGTAAGTTAAATTGAATTGGATTGGATTGTATTGATTTTATCGCCGTTATAGGGTTGTAAATCAATTAAATGGAGTCGAAATGGAGGGTAAACCACTCAAAGTTGATCTCGCCAGCGAAAAGAAGGGTCGACGTGGACCACGCGCACCCGGTGCACCATTCAGCAACCTGCCCGGTCAGAGCAGACAGACTGACTTCCCGTTGCGCATCCTGGTGCAGAGCGATATGGTCGGCGCTATCATTGGTCGTCAGGGTTCCACAATCCGCCTAATTACGCAACAAACGCGTGCACGTGTTGATGTCCATCGCAAGGACAATGTGGGCTCATTGGAGAAGGCCATTACCATTTATGGTAATCCCGAAAACTGCACGAATGCCTGCAAGCGGATTTTGGAAGTGATGCAACAGGAAGCCAACAATACAAACAAAGGGTAAGCGCACTTAAAATTCAATTAATAACATGCTTATACAATGCATATCCTGTGATATTTGAGTGGCATTGCGAATCAATACAATCGCTGCTTGATGCACACAGGTAAATTAATGCTAAGAGTCCCGTGCTGACATATGACAGATCACCCACAATGCTCAGCCCCGATAACTCTTCGACATTTTTTGCTTTATTAATAAATTATGGGAGTAGTTGGGAATTTTTTTGAGAATGGTGTATTTATTGTGTTTTTATGTCTTTACAGAGAAATATCGTTGAAAATTCTCGCGCACAACAATCTAATTGGTCGTATTATCGGCAAAGGAGGCAACACGATCAAGCGTATCATGCAGGAAACTGACACCAAGATCACGGTTTCGAGCATCAATGACATCAATTCGTTCAATTTGGAGCGTATCATCACTGTGAAGGGAGCGATCGAGAACATGAGCAAAGCGGAGGCGCAGATCAGCGCCAAACTCCGCCAGAGCTACGAGAATGATCTGCAAGCGATGGCGCCGCAGACGATGATGTTCCCCGGCCTGCACCCCATGGCAATGATGGCCACCGCTGGTATGTAGCGCTTTTTTGCGACATTCGCAAATTTCTCAATTCGCCGCTGTTTTGCATAGGTATTGGTTACGGTTCGCGCGGTTTGTACACAGGTCAGGCGCCGTATCCAGGCATGTATCCGGCCGGCGCACCACAGACGAGCACCACATCGGGCGACACCCAGGAGACGACCTACTTGTACATCCCCAACAACGCAGTCGGCGCCATCATCGGCACTAAGGGCTCGCACATCCGCAACATCATCCGCTTCTCGGGCGCGACGGTCAAAATAGCCCCGCTGGACGAGAGCAAGCCGCAGGACACGCAGACCGAGAGGCGCGTCACCATCGTCGGATCGCCGGAGGCACAATGGAAGGCGCAGTACTTGATATTCGAGAAGATGCGAGAGGAGGGATTCGTCGCCGGTTCTGATGATGTGAGGCTGACGGTGGAGATTATGGTGCCGAGTTCGCAGGTCGGCAGGATTATTGGTAAGGGCGGACAGAACGTGCGTGAACTGCAACGAGTGACGGGCAGCGTCATCAAACTGCCGGAACAGGGTACCAGTCCCCAGGAGGACGAAACAACAGTGCATATCATTGGTCCATTCTTTAGTGTTCAGGTATGTTTTTGTTTATTGTTGCGACAATGATGAGTAATAAATTTGTTTGCTACGTTGCTCACACGGTTTGAAGCTCCGATTGCGGCGACTATTATTAATTGTGTGAATTGCATGTTGCTTTATTAACTGTATCCTGTGATATTTGAGTGGTATTGCGAATCAATACAATTGCTGCTTGATGCACACAGGTAAATTAATGCTAAGAGTCCCGTGCTGACATAAGACAGATAACCCACAATGCTCAGCCCCGATAACTCTTCGACATTATGCTAACTCACGCTCGATTGTAGTTGAGATGCAGCTTCTGTTTGCTTGTGTACACGATTTTAACGCGATATTCTATTTCAGAGTGCACAGCGACGTATTCGTGCTATGGTGCTGCAATCAGTGGCGCCGCCGCAGGGAGGAAGGCCACGCGGGCCACGATTACCGAAAGATCAACAAGCCGAGCCGTCGGCCGCCGACGGACAGCAGTAATGCTCGCCCCACCGTCGCAGCGTCTCGACAATTATGTAAAACAAACTAAAAACGCAACTGCCCATACATGGCATAGGCCTTGCGACCTACCATGCGTTCGTTTTGTACATATTCAACATCTCTCGAGAGGCCTTCCACGAAAGAAAATTACCGAACACACAAACAAAACAAACAAACTCTTAACAAAGACTAGCATTAAACGATAAGGAGATTTTCGACTCTAACTTGAAATAAGCACAACAAACAAGGAAAACCTCAAATACCTCAAGTACGTCGTGTATAAGTGCATTTTTCATCTCGATGACAATTTGACAACATCGATCATCATAATCAACATAAAAAAACACGTTAAGTCACGACTGATCGTATTTAGCGCGAAATGAAAGTCCTAATTTATTTCGTCCATTTTTCAAATCATCATCGATCATTACAATTCAATTAGTTTTGTATTCGATTTTCATTAGAGCCGCTCACCGGCGGCTGAATGGCGAAAGGGCTAGCGAGAAAGAAAAAATTGGTACGAGCGAATGCTGGCCATGCATTAACAAACAAATCTTGAACAATCAAATCACCAAAAACACTCACGGTAATTATTACTTGAACAGAACTACCTCAGTAAATCAAAACTAACATTTAGTTACGAGTGTTCCCGAAGAATGTTTTTAAAAACTAATTTTTTTGCTATATATGCAATCAAATCGCAAACGCGCAGCGCGCATTGTGCGCTGTACAGGAACCACACAACCACAAACAACCTCATACATAGTATAAACAAGTTTTATTATTGTTGAAGAGAGAAAACTTTACATAAATTAATGAAATAGCGCAATGTGTCAAGTAAGAGTAAATGCAACTAAGTGTCCACACTACTGCGGACTACCAAAGATGTAAAATTAGTCGATTTACTATTTACGCACATAAAACTACTGCAGCATAACTAATTGATACATGCGATTGATTGACGATCGAGTATACGTCATTGAGATAAACAAAAGATGAAACAAACTGGAATATGACTATTGTTTAGATAAGCCACATACAATTACTTCGGAATAAATCAATTTACACCAGCCCGAGAAAGAAAACCGATTAAGTAAACATACAACAACTAGAACATTTACGTGCAGGAGTATCGTTCGTTTACATTTTTTTACATAAGTGTAAAGAGACGGAATAGTTCCTTTCGACGGTGATAACGCAGAGCAGCTCTTATTGTCGTAGATCGTGCGGTCATGGTGCTGCTTTGCGAGTGCGCCGGGTACCAACGTGGCTGTTGTTATTATAACTTATTTTGTATGAATGTGTATTTTTGTTTTTGTTTAATTATTATTAGAATTATAATTTTTTGTGTACGAGGAAGCGTGTGTGCGGCATACTGCAATATTGCCTCCGAACTGAACAACTTCACGCTCCAAAACGATAGGAAGCTAGGGAAACACGAAAGGGCGAGCAATTAGATTTTGGCCACTCTGTTTTTGGTAACATCTCAATTTTGTAGTATAACGTGAGTGAAATCATTTCGTTCGACAATCTTGCAACGTTCACCGTATATTTCGGGAGTGTGTGTCGTCGCGAGGGTGAACGAGTGCGTGGACATTTTTTAACACTTAAATTATAATTATTGTTAGGAGATTGTTAATTAAATGTTGACGCGTGAACCAGGCGGTGGAGTATATATCGCGAATAGAGTGGACATTTTAGGGTTTTCATTTAAAGGCGCGTAGATGCGTCGCTCTTAGATTATATTACAATTATTTCAAGGTGCCGCGCGACGCGTCTGCACGCCTGCCATTGTGATTGTTAACTTGGTCTAAACTAGAGTTGACTATGCAGTAGGAGCGAGAGTGTGCGGCATGGATGTGACGGACGGTGTGATTGGTGATGTGGAATTGTTTAATAATACTTTGGGAAGAGACTCACTCACTTCATTTTAAACGAGATACGAAAACTGAACCGCATTGGCGATCGGGGCTAATCGAAGAACTTGAGAGAAAAAAACGCATACAAACGAGGCGCACGCGAATATACCTCGGCGACGAGTATATTTGCAGTCCGATTGCGATTAAAGTACAAAGCTTATCATAATTGATGCAAACTCGGAGGTATAGAGATAGGACCTTCCTACAAGGTCTAAATTTAAAAATAATTGAAGAGAATAAAGCCGGTGGTTGGTATATTTGCCAGGCTTACAACTTGTAAAAAAAATTATTTTTGATAAAAATTGTTTGTTGGGGAGGATATTTTTTGTTAGATTTTTAAAAAATGAAATGAATGAAAAATTAAATAAATAAGAATTTTACGAGAGAGCGCGTCGAAAAAGATTGCGCTTTGATTTTATGAGAAATTGTGAAAAAAATGGATATATAATATATATTATATATATATACATATATGGTATATACTAATAATGTATAAAAGAAGAGTTAAATTATTTGTACAGATTTAAGAAAAATGAATTGTGCCAAAGTGCGAGACAAAGTTTATTAAGAGAATTTATTAGTGAGTTTAGGAACAGAGGGTTCATGTATTTATTCTGATTCTAACACATGGCAAAAATGGTCGAAAACACACGAAGAGAAGTAAAATTGAAAACCAAAAATTCGAAAACGCTCACAACGGTTCAGAAACGACTATCAAAAAAATAACATTCGGCAACTGTTCGGGAAAGTACAAAAAAAAAACAACTAGAAAGAAAAATCCAAATAATCCATTTATTTCACACAATTCAAACTAAAAACCGATCTTCAAATGAATATAAAATTGTCAACATCGAGAGAAACTCTAGGAATTCATTCGGAACGCAAAAAAATCTAACGCGCTTTTTATTATTACAACAGAATGCAAAATTTAAACTTAAGACAAAACAACCCCCCAAAAAACGAATACCAAAAAAGAGACTTTAGACCCATTCGGCAACGGAAAGAAAACAAAACCAAATTAAATACGCAGAGAAATTGGTACCATTTCCATCCAAATTGACAAAAAACATTGTTTTAGTAGACATTCGGCGAAACTGACGGAAAGTTTTTACGGGCAGAACCAAAATTGTTCTGATCTACGAATTGGCAAAGAAAACTAATTGATTTAGATGAAGAAATTCACTATCATTATCCCTCCAAGCATTGACGCGAAAAACTACCGCTTATACTATACATTCATATACGTTTTGCTCGTTCTTTATTTTGCTTGCAATCATGCATCCCCACAAATCGGTGTCTGCTAACCGAAAAACAAATAAAACACAAAACGTATTCGATTTTGAAATACCACTATGCAAAGTCGCAAATGTTTCGAGGACAACCATTTACAGTAGATGGAAGCTACATTTGTGCTCCAAACTATGCTTGCAAGTATTGCTCCTGAGAGCCTGATTTTCAAATCACCCCAAAATGGTAAATCATGTAACAAATGAAAGTTAAATATGAGGAAACTCCCAGCCCCGCCCCTAATCGCATATTGATGTGCATTTACGTTCTAATTATTTGTCGTAAACAATAATAACGCTACATGCAACTATGTAATATTTTGAGCCATCCTTTGTACTCATTGATGAAGCGGTGCAAGCGACGCAAACAAAAATATTGTTATAACATTTGGGCATTATAAAGTCAACGCTGAATAACACACGAATCGCTATTGATGCAAAGGACGTGTTTCAAGTCACAATTTTAAGTAGTTCTTCGTTATTTCATACATCTATCTTTAAATAATAGTTATAGCTTATAAAAAGTCACCAGAGGATTTGTTGTATTGCATAAACTGTTCGAATTTTCTATATTTGCAAACGCTTCTGTTGACTAATCTGTCCCCGCTGCTTGAAAGTTGACTGATGCGTAAGATCAAAGCAACCTCAGTACAGCAAACAACCAGAGAAAACAAAGATTTCTCATCCCCCCGCCCCCCAAATTAAGAAACTTCGAAATCGAATCGGATTCCGAGATTTAAACCTTTTTTCTATATGTTCGATTTTATTACATACGTTTATTTCATCTTTAATCATACTACGTTTTGTAGTTCTATATATTATATTATTTTTTTGTATTACAGTTATACATATAGAATTTATGCTATTTAGAATCGCTGGATGGACTGACTATGGATTTATATATTATATACAGAGCAGGATTGCCCAGCTGTTTTTCTTTTTCTTACGTAGATTTTTAGTGGTATTAGGTCCGGATACAAACAAAAAACGAGCAAGCAAACACGCAAAACTATACAAGATACAATGAACAAACATCGCGCACACCATTCCATTTTTAACATCGTCATTGTTACATTTATCCGAGGCCGGCCTAACGGGCCAGTCCGCGTCTGACGGCAAGCGATCGCGGTGCGAAAATACGATTCAAATCGCACGTCAAGAGAATGTATAACAATATATCCGACCTAAGCAGTATCTACCTCAATAATTATAAGTGGTAAAATAGTAATATTAACGTTGTTTATGTTTTTTATTTGCTTATATTTCCAAATACCTAAGGCGTATGAATATAATAACTTCTAATTTATGTTGCATACAATGAAACTATACCGGCAGATTGACTTCGCGAGTGGCTTCAATCGCTCGAAATCATAGTTTTCCGTATGTTTTTAGTATCCGTTTGTATCTCTACAAAACGAAATAACTACCAACATAAAATAGAGAATAACCAAACCAGTTAGTAATTGTCATAATGTCATAAATATAAAGTTTAGCGTAACAAGATGAATAAAAAAATACGAAATTATAAACAAGCATAGAATACACATGAACATTCATTTCTGGAATGAAGCATAAGTGAAATATAATTAAGCGGAAATAGCATGTTTAATAGTAAGCATTAAATTAAATTTAGAAAAGAAAAAGAAAAATATTTTGTGTCTGTGTGCCATTTCATTTTTGTATTTCATTGTTGGATGTTATATTAAAACAATACACAGTACACTGCGAAACAAAAATGTGTTTGTTTTATTAGAACATGCGAAAGAAGAGAAAAAAAAACAAGATTAACAAAACTGCACCCACTTTTTGAACTATGTATAACATATGTGAACAATGACTAACATATACTAAACATGCATATATCGTATTTGTAACCGAAATAATAGTACTAACTAATTACTATATTAAAACATAATTACCCACTGATGCAGAAATCCACACAGAACATGCACGAGCGTGAAACTAATGATGAATGTTTTTATAAGGAGATAAAACCAAGACGGAACCGCAACTCTCAGGTATTATAGCTCAGGACGATTTTTGTAAATCGCTTGTATAAGAAAATAACAGTTTTTGCATTGTACGAGTGTTTGTAACGATAGGTAGTTTAACATTTTCATTTCTGGTTTATTTTATGTGCGATAGAATTCCACTGAAAGCAAATTCACATTTGACTGCAGGATTGTTACAATAAAATAAACATTTTTCGTTCATTACAGCATTCTTTTATGCCTTCACATAGTCGAATAAGTGACGTTACTTTATAATATAGATATTATAATAATTGCCGCTTCTGTTTCAATGTATCCTAATTCTGTTAAAAAGATGCTATCTCCAGTTGAATATGATCACAATCATCTTTGTACTTTTATTATTCGTTTATAATATGAGCTTATGATTACGTTTTATCACTATTGAGTATTTGCAAGCGCCCACATTGAATTATTGTGCGCGCTGGAATGTATGGTGTGTATTAAATGAACATGAAATGAAATTGAGTATGGATTGGTTTTATAACTAACTGTTTTCGTGACAATTATCTGTAGCAGTCGAGAAAATCTGCAGTGCTGGAACAGACATTTTTGATAACACTAATGCAAGCGAGAACATGAAACTAACATATAACGTAGATAGAACAGTATTTATAACATACATATTACATGCATCTATTGTCCGTTTAATGAATTTCAGTTAATAAATAGTGTTCCCTTAATCATGTCTTCTTTTTTTGTTAAATATCGGTGTGTTGACTTATTTTTATCCTGTCGTTCTAACAATTTGTAACGTTGTTTCCTCTTTGAAAACTTTAGGTAGAGGCGCTGCTAGTTGGTTCCCCACCGCTACTCATAGATATGAACTAGATGCGGCTTAGCTATGTGGCTTAGTCGGTCGTGCGCTGTGGTGCGGGGTGCACGTGTCCTGTTTGTCTCTTATGGCGCCGACTTCACGCGACGGTACATACTAATAACGGGCAGGTGTGCTCAACTGATTTAATGATTTATCACACCGGGAACCCAAAATTGAGTGATTTAACTCAGTGCGTGGGTGTATAATTGATTTATTCGTATTGCGAGTGGAATCAAAAATTAAGAGAAATTAGTACGTGTGTGCATGTTGCCGTCGGATCGCTTTAACTGGTTACGAATTCCAATAAGACTTAGAAAATTGTTAAAGTGTTTGTTCGTGCAGACAAACAACGCTTGTCCGCGGGTACGTGTTGCCAACGCAGGAGTTATAGAGAAACGTTGTTACTGCTAACAAGGCGAAAAACGGGTTTTGTGCCATCGTAACTCATGGATAGAAGAATAAAAGAGTAAGTATCATCAAGTAAAAATTTACACATATGTAACTTTTTTTAAATTTCACAACTACAATTTTATTGTTTTATAATAATAAAACGATTATATGTATATGATTCCGTTAATAAAGGACAATTCAATTTTATATTCATGGCTATACTTATTCCTCGTGTTCAATTAGTTGTTTTCAGATTTAGTTTTAAGTCATGTTTAATACTAAATAATACTAAATAATGTAATATATATTCTTCTTAAAGTTGTTGTACTGGCAAGGGCGCCAGGTGCCTCAGTCTTATGTAGCTTAAGCTATATATTATATGTACCATGGAGTCGATGATTCGACTTATGCGAGTGGAGTAAAAGCAACATAGCTGAGGCTTGTGTTGTTGTTTTTAAAAAGTTGAATAAAGTAGAAATATAAATAGAAGAATCAAATATCAATAATAAAAACACTCGGTGGTCGAGTGGAGACGTGCACCTGCTGGCATGCTAGCAGACACGGATCGAATCTCAGGTATCGAAGGCATTTTTCTCAAATATAAAAATATCAGGTGAAATTTGGGTTGCATATATGAAATGCAACGAAATATAAGAGAAATTGAAATACAAGTGGAGGCAAAATAAGAGAAGTAAGAAAGTAAATGGAGAACGGGAGAAGATAGAAGGAAGAGAACAGAGGAGGTAGAGTAGAGAAGAGGAGGAGATAGAAGAAAGAGAACAGGGGAGGATCAGATTTTTAAATTTTTTGGCACGTGTCGTTATAAGACAGTCGACAGTCGACAGTCGACAGCCCACTGCTTCGATGTGTCCATTGCTCCCGGCCCATCCTACAGCTACGATGTCTCTGCGCTTCATCCCCGAAATTATCAGGCATATCAACAATTTTTATGGTGGGGGATCACCCCCAGAGAGAGGGAACTCCTTATAAGGACAATCCTTTTAAGGTCTTGTTCAAATATTTCTAAGTTTTAAGTCGCCTCAAGAGAAGCGACACTTAAAAATATTCTTACAAGTTCTGACCTGTGGCTGAAATGAAAGAAGGAGCACACAAACCACAGAGGATACCTTAACAATTTTTATAGAGGGGATCATCCCCTGAGAGAGGGAACTCTCTTAGAGACCTGTTCCTGAAATGATAGAAGAGGCATACAAATCAAAGAAGTCAATATTTCTTACTATTTCTTTATTAACAATAGAATACAAGTTTAAATTTTACAAGTCAACAGAATTTGTGCCGCCATATTGAAGCAGGACTTACGACCTGCACAGCCGCGCACATGCAAGCAAGTACTACTTCATAAAGTAGTACCGGGATAATGAAATTAGTAAATAGCCAATTTTCTAGGTCACTGAAAATGTAAATAAATATACAGGGTGTTACAAAAGGAAAATATAAAGTGCAAACAAAAACTCCAAACACTACAAACGCCGCTCGTTTTCACTCGACGATAAAGGAAACTAATATACAGGGTGTTTCAGAAAGAAAATTCAAAGTGCAAAGAGGAAAATGCTAAAAACAACAGTTGAAACAAAATTTTTACGGACACGAAGGAAAATGAATATACAGGGTGTACCAGAAAGAAAATCCCAAGTTCAAAACAAAGAACATTCAAAACTCACAATTAAAGACAATCTTCTACGTGGTGTTAGGAAAACTAATATACAGGGTGTTACAAGCAAAAAACTTTCGCAACTACAAAAATAATCAATATTCACATTATGACACGAGAAATTTATAAGAAAACAACAATATTTTAATATAAAATCAAAGATTTTACCCGAAAATCAACGGGAAATTGAGCAAAAGGGTGCTACAAAAATTAAACACTCACATTTTAATATATTGTAAATATGTATTCATTAATTGATGGTAGCATCAACTGTATAAGATAACCGACAGGTGAAGCATCATCATAAATTAATAGAATATTCGGCGGAAAACATCTAAATCAACAGACGGCAAGCGACGGCGCGTAGCAATATAGTCGGTAAATAGGACAAAAATAACTATTTCTTTGTACATATTAAGATATACGCAAACTACAAAAACGAAAAACTACTCATCATACAAGATTATATTAGATCAACAAGAAACTTCTTAATTTAATGATGCTATCGAGTACAATTCGATTAAAAACGTTCACGTGTTCAGCGAAAAGCTGACCGAGCCGACGGCCGACGGCAAAGTGAGCGCGGTCGACCACATGAATATTGTCATTTTAATAATCCGCAGATAATTTTTAAAACCGTCTTTGTAATAAATAAATCATGCACGTTATTTTCCGAAACGCGATTAAGAATTCTGATAAAACTGCTACCACGTGTTTGTAATTTGCAAGATGTTACATGCAAAAATAGTATCCCTCAAATGGAATAATCAAGTTTTCATGAAAAAAATTTATTATACACATACCTTTGCATTAATGAGGAGATTATATATCCTGTAATATATTCTACCAACTGAAAACTCGCGCAGAGATTATTTCTTAGTTAAGAACACTCTAACCGCGACAAATCATTAAACAAAACCGCCACACATGCTCGTCCCGAATATTTTGCTGATGGCCAAAAGAATGCACGTCGATTAATTCAATTAAAACCTCAAAACGCGTGGCGATTAGAAAGACACGCTTGCGGACCACGCGGTGTAACGACTGCCGTGTGCGCTGCGCGTTGCCAGGTACAAGGCAGGTACGTCGCGTTTACGCGCCAGTCGAACAAAAAAGTTGTTTATACATAAACGTAGTAGTAGAGAATTTAATTCTACATTTTTAAACACCCCGCTCAAGTTTGTATGCAATGACTAAAATGATCTACATATTACGAGCACGCGTGAATCAGTTGTATAAAACAAACACTTAATTACACATACCACATACCAGTATTTCCCGCGGTGCAACACGCAGGCTAATGTATTTTATTTTAAATCCGGAATCGACCGACGAAACGAATCAAATTCGCATTCTAATTTAGCTCGTGAGTCGGCCATCGGAAATCAAAGGGCGATTGCTAAAACAGAGAAGAGAACGTTAGTTTGTTTATCGTAGTATTTTTTATGAATAACTTCTATGGCTCACTTAACACACACATTTCTGTAAAGGTTACTTCACACTTTATATGTGTGTAGGACAATAAAATATTGCTTCTTTCTATTTCAGTACAACGGTGATACATTAATAACACTGCACATATGAAAATTGAAATAAATATTTATCTAAGTTATTACATTAATTTAATAAAAATAAAAGTAAAATTTTATATACCTATGTTTTATTTACTATACTTCGTGTACTATATGTTAGGTTTAATTGTGTCAACCTGCCAAGGCTTAGTTAACGCATTCGTGGTGTGTAAAGCGCACTTTACACTTTATAAAACACATTTAAATGTCAGTAAAGTTATATTTATTCGTATTCGTATTTTAGTGTTACAGGGTTATAATTGTAACCCTACACCTTTTAAAATAGAAATAAATAATTTTATAAATGATTTCGTTAACTTCATAACAACAAAAATGAAATTTGTTTTATTATACTTTTTATCTTATCCTTTTTAACTTCCAAGGCGTAGTTAACACAAACGTAGTTAACACAAACGTAGTTTGTAAAGGTTACTGTACACTTTATATTGATGTAGGATAGTAAAATATTATTTATTTTCACTTCTTTCAATATAATTTTCAATATAACACGCGTTAAGGAATTTTCTTCCAATACATTTTAATATAGGTAGATACAGAATTAAATTATGCATCTGGGAAAATTATTCTGAACATATTGTGACACCGCGTACGCGAGTTATACTAAAAGAAACTACAATTCCAAGCGCAACGAGTACTACAGCGGACACACACAACTTTCAATATAACTCGCGTAAAGGATTTTTCCCGCAATAAATTTCAATACAAGGATATACAGAATTAAATTCTACATCTGGGAAAATTATTCCGAACTTATTGTGACACCGCATTCGCGTGTTATATCAAAAAAACTATAATTCCTAGCACAATGAGTACTAGTGCCTATACACACAACTTTCAATATAACTAACGTTACAGCATTTTCTTGCAATAAATTTCAATACAGGAATATATAGAATTAAATTCTGCATCTGAGAAAATTATTCCGAACTTATTGTCACACCGCATTCGCGTGTTATGTCAAGAAAACTATAATTCCTACCGCAACGAGTACTAGTGCGTATACACACAACTTTCAATATAACTCGCGTTACGGAATTTTCTTGCATTAAATTTTAATACAGGGATTTACAGAATTAAACTCTGCATCTGGAAAAATTCTTCCAAACATACTGTGACACCGCGTTCGCGTATTATACTAAAAAACTACAATTCCTAGCGCAACGAGTGCTTCGGTGTATACACACAACTTTGAATATACGAGTAAATCGCGTTACGGAATATTCCTGCTATAAATTTCTATACTGAGAGATACAGAATTAAATTCAACATCTGGGAAAATTCTTCCGAACTTACTGAGACACCGCATTCGCGTGTTATACTAAAAAAACTGCAATTGCTAGCGCAACGAGTGCACACACACAACTTTCAATATAAATAGCGTTACGGAATTTTCTCGCTATAAATTTTTATACTGAGAGATACAGAATTTAATTCTATATGTGGGAAAATTCTTCCGAACTTACTGTGACACTGCGTTCGCATGTTATACTAAAAAAAAAATACAATTCCTAGCGCAACGGATGCTACGGAGCACACATACAACTTTCAATATAATTCGCGTTACGGAATTTTCTCGCTATACATTTCTATACTGTAAGATACAGAATAAAATTCTACATCTGGGAAAATTCTTCCGAACTTACTGTAACACTGCGTTCGCGTGTTATACTAAAAAAACTACAATTCCTAGCGCAACGAGTGCCACGGTGCACACACACAACTTTCAATATAACTCGCGTTACGGAATTTTCTCGCTATACATTTCTATACTGAGAGATAAGAATAAAATTCTACATCTGGGAAGATTCTTCCGAACATGCTGTGACTCCGCGTTCTCGTGTTATACTAAGAAAACTACAATTCCTAGCGCAACGAGTGCTACAGCGCACACACACAATAAATTTCAATACAGGGAGATACAGACAGGGTCGTCGAGAGCCAGGGCGGGCCCCGCGGCCACGGTAATCATTAATTTTTCGCTAATTTTTTTTTTTGTTAGCGATTTAAGAGCGATCAACCGAACACCGAGGAATTTATCCCAGTTGACCCCCCTCTCATCATCCCTGCAGGTAGGTACGTGATTAATAAAAAAACTTGTTTATAAACAGCAAATGCAAATTTGACCGAATAATATGATTGAATTATAAACTTACCAGTGTACACCTTATCGGACTGCTAGGTACGAGTGCTATAACTAAACGAAAACATAAATTAAAAATATATTTCATATAATTGAATTATGTTATAACATAACAATCAACACAAAAGAAACAATCTGTGCTGTTTAGTTAAAAAATGCTTACACGAGCCTGATGGATCTTTCTTATTGATGAGAATCAACATGGGGGCGACTATATCCGATTAATTTAGTAGCCGACACCAAACACAACGCCGAGTGAAGAATGTTATCAAATCCATTATCACGTGACTTGTAATATACATAACAAACGCGATCAAAAACCGGCATTTCCGAACATTAAACAAATTACTATAGTCGCAAAGTACAAATAAATAGTCGATTGATCTTCTAGTATTACACAAATTTAGAATATTGAACGCCGAATAAACGATATACCTAAGTCTCTCAAAACACGACTGGATTAACCAGCGACCGACACGAAACTGACTGCAATCCACCGATAGTGCATGCCGAAACTGTGTAAACAACGACGGGACAGTATATGATATGAAAGTAAGAGGTGCGCAAAGGCGCGTCGAAGGCAAGCGATCTTGTGTGCGAATTTACAATAGGCACATTACCTGTGATCTAAACTAAACTAAACTTCGCTGCATGCAGCAAGTTGATGCGGCGCTGGGAGACGCGCGCGAGACATATGCGTTGAAAACATTGTTTACACCGAATCGCTGATAACAGCATTGTATACAAAACTATTCTCGTGCCCACGCTTGTCGATAAATATAAAAATAAGCCGTGGATTTTATGATTTTTAGTGCATCCTAGTGATGAGATTTAGATGATTATAATCAATAAATAATTAATGTTTAATATGAGCACCAGATGTAATTCTTAAGAAAAAATTGCTCTTATCAACGATTTTCAAAAATTAATATCTCTTAAACTAAAAGAGATAGCTACCAACAAATTGTTGATTATGAAAGACTGTAAAATTCTCTATCAGATAAAAATATAAAATAATTATATTTCCGACAGTAAAAGGTCGAAAAACGCGACTAAAAGTGCTAAAAAGTGACATTTATCAATTTTTGCCCATTTTATTCAATCGCGAATATCTCGTAAACTAAAAGAGATAAATAGGATCTGATCGCAGCGTCTTAATCTACGGATTATTTTCTATCAGATAGGATAGTTAAAACGGAAATCTGAGAGATGAAATTTTAAGTCTTAAGAAAAAATTGCCAAGGGGGGGTGCTTGATACTTTTTTTCGACGATTTTCAAAAATTAATATCTCTTAAACTAATTGAGATAGCTACCAACGAATTGTTGATTATGAAAGATTGGAAAATTCTCTATCAGATAAAAATATAAAATAATTATATTTCCTAGAGTAAAAGGTCGAAAAACGCGACTAAAAGTGCTAAAAAGTGACATTTATCAATTTTTGCCCATTTTATTCAATCGCGAATATCTCGTAAACTAAAAGAGATATATAGGATCTGATCGCAGGGTCTTAATCTACGCACTTTTCTCTATCAGATAGGATAGTGAAAACGGAAATCTCAGAGATGAAATTTTAAGTCTTAAGAAAAAATTGCCAAGGGGGGGTGCTTGATACTTTTTTTCGACGATTTTCAAAAATTAATATCTCTTAAACTAAAAAAGATAGCTACCAACGAATTGTTGATTACGAAAGACTGGAAAATTCTCTATCAGATAAAGATATAAAATAATTATATTTCCTACAGTAAAAGGTCGAAAAACGCGACTAAAAGTGCTAAAAAGTGACATTTATCAATTTTTGCCGATTTTATTCAATCGCGAATATCTCGTAAACTAAAAGAGATAAATAGGATCTGATCGCAGGGTCTTAATCTACGCACTTTTCTCTATCAGATAGGATAGTTAAAACGGAAATCTCAGAGATGAAATTTTAAGTCTTAAGAAAAAATTGCCAAGGGGGGGTGCTTGATACTTTTTTTCGACGATTTTCAAAAATTAATATCTCTTAAACTAAAAGAGATAGCTACCAACGAATTGTTGATTACGAAAGACTGGAAAATTCTCTATCAAATAAAGATATAAAATAATTATATTTCCTAGAGTAAAAGGTCGAAAAACGCGACTAAAAGTGCTAAAAAGTGACATTTATCAATTTTTGCCCATTTTATTCAATCGCGAATATCTCGTAAACTAAAAGAGATAAATAGGATCTGATCGCAGCGTCTTAATCTATGGATTATTTTCTATCAGATAGGATAGTTAAAACGGAAATCTGAGAGATAAAATTTTAAGTCTTAAGAAAAAATTGCCAAGGGGGGGGTGCTTGATACTTTTTTCGACGATTTTCAAAAATTAATATCTCCTAAACTAATAGAGATAGCTACCAACGAATTGTTGATTATGAAAGATTGGAAAATTCTCTATCAGATAAAAATATAAAATAATTATATTTCCTAGAGTAAAAGGTCGAAAAACGCGACTAAAAGTGCTAAAAAGTGACATTTTTCAATTTTTGCCCATTATATTCAATCGCGAATATCTCGTAAACTAAAAGAGATAAATAGAATCTGATCGCAGCGTCTTAATCTACGGATTATTTTCTATCAGATAGGATAGTTAAAACGGAAATCTGAGAGATAAAATTTTAATTCTTAAGAAAAAATTGCCAAGGGGGTGCTTGATACTTTTTTCGACGATTTTCAAAAATTAATATCTCCTAAACTAATAGAGATAGCTACCAACGAATTGTTGATTATGAAAGATTGGAAAATTCTCTATCAGATAAAAATATAAAATAATTATATTTCCTAGAGTAAAAGGTCGAAAAACGCGACTAAAAGTGCTAAAAAGTGACATTTTTCAATTTTTGCCCATTATATTCAATCGCGAATATCTCGTAAACTAAAAGAGATAAATAGGATCTGATCGCAGCGTCTTAATCTACGGATTATTTTCTATTATCTAAGATAGTATAGTTTAAACGAAAATCTGAAATTTTTATTCTTAAGAAAAAATAAACAAATGGGAGTCAACTCTACAATCATCCACGTAGGGTGCCCTGAACACGAGTCACTTCTACCGCTGCCCTCGTACGATGCCCTGAATACGAGTCACTTCTACCGCTACCCTCTTTTAAACTAAAATCGCACGCGACCAACGGATCAAAGAATATAAAAGATTGGAAAATTCTCTATCAAGTAAAAATTGAAAATAATTTTGTTCCGTGGGGGTATATGCGGTCAAAACTAAACTCTTGCGCTTTTGTAAGTGAAGGAAATTCGAAACAGTTAATTTTGAGTTGAATCAGCCGAGTACGCGACTATTTTATATACCTATTTGCAACACGCGATGGAACGCGTTAAATTAAAACAACGTAAATACAAACGAATGGAGGACGCAGAAATTAAAACGAAACATATAATTGAATTATAAACTTACCAATGCAGAACTCATGGGACTCCAAGCACGGTTAATACTGTAAATAAACAAAGAAAACATAAGTTGAAACAAAAACATTTAATATAATTTAGTAATATTATAATCACACAGCGGAGATAAACAAACAATCTGCGTTGTTTAGTTAAAAGTTACTTACATCAGCACGATGGGTCATCCTAATGATGAATATCAAATCATGAGGGCGATACACGTAACACCATAAATGGACAATAAACGCGTAAACAGTAAGTAGCATTACTTTAGTCGATTGATGATCGAATATAATGCGAATTTGGAAAGTAGATGTTCAGATAAACACTACGAGTCGCGTGAAATATTGGATCTAGTTGATCCGGCACGAAACTGGCTGCAAACTGTGCAAGCAACGACGCGACAGTATATGATAAGAAAGCAAGAGATGCGCATAGCCAGTGCGTCGATGGCACGCGACCTAATACGCGAATCGCTTTGACACGTTTCCTGCGATCAAAACTAAACTATGATGCAGGAACAGGCGGTGTGAGGAAATGGCAACGACACCCCGCAATGCGATAAGAAAGTGTAAATTGGGTTCAAAACAAACACAATTCTCGTGTCGAATGCTCACGGTTGCCGATAAATATAGAAATAAACACTACAAGTCTATTTTATGATTTTTAAGTCATGCTAGTGCTATCTGTAAATGATAGAGTAGTTTCGAAATTTAGATTATTAAAAGTAATGATAAATTAAAATTTTACAAAAAAAAATTTAATGATATACACTACTATTACACCTAATCTAAAATTGATAGTTTTATTCGTGATTGAATAATACTTGCTTAAATTTACAATGCCAATATAAACTGCAACGATGTGATTTTATTCCAAGAAATAAAGATTCGATATTTGCAGGTAAACAAACTTATCTTTTGTGCGAAATCGCGTGATCGCACACGGACACGGTGTGCACTCACTACCACCGACAAGCAATATTTAACGCAAAAACGTGCATCATAGTGCCATCTAACCGACTATCTAGTAATGGCAGGATTAAATTTAAAACATATTTTATCAAATACGCAACAAAGTTGATATTGCATGAAAATGTCAGTTATAACAATTTAATAATGCATATCAAATCGCAATTGCTTTAATTTATACTCTATGGTACAATATAATAATATTAAATTCACACATCGAAGAAAAACAAACATTCTGTGCGTACCTTCTAGACTAAAAGAGATATAAAGGAACGAATCGCAGAGTCTTAATCTACGGACAATTCTCTATAAAATAAGCTACCTAGTTAAATTCGAAATTTAAGAGATGAAATTTTAATTTATAAGAGAAAATGGGCAAGGAGGGGGTGCTTGATAATTTATTTAAACGATTTTAGACAATGAATATCTTCTAAACTAAAAGAGATAGCAACTAGAAAATTGTAGATTAAGTAAGATTGGAAAATTCACTGTAAGATAAAAAGTTTAAATAATATAATTTAATGGGGTAAAAGGTCTAAAAACGCGACTGACAGTGCTAAGAATTGTTGTTTTTTTTCAATTTGATATTTTTTTTTGCTTGTTAATTTTAATGGACGATTATGAAAGTTTAGAAAATTCTCTATCAAGTAAAAATATAAAATAAGTAAAGTTCTTGGGCTAAACGGTCCAAAAACAATTATTTTATGAATACGAGTCACTTCTAGCGCAACCCCTATACGGTGCCCTGAACCCGAGTCACTTCTACCGCTACCTTCATACGGTGCCCTGAATCGAGTCACTTTTATCGCTAGCGTCGTAAGGTGCCCTGAATCGAGTCACTTCTATCGCTACCTTGGTACGGTGCCCTGAACACAAGTCACTTCTACCGTCACCTCCTACGGTGCTCTGAACCCGAGTGACTTTTACCGCTAGCCTCGTACGGTGCAAAATTTCCTATATATATATCTATACTAGCTGCCCTGCTGAACTACGTCTCGACTTTTCTTTCCTGAATATTTTCGAAATTCCTGAAAGGCTTCTTTAGCTATATATGCCACATCCATTATTATAACTCACAGTTTCTATTTCAAAATTGACAAATTCATTTTTATAATTATTGTCACAAAATGACTTTTAAAAATTCAGTTTTGTCAAACGGAATTTTAGTCAAGTTGCTTATGTCAAGTACTATATTACGTGTTGGGCAATAAAATACTAGTGCGACTATAAATTAAGATGTAAGCTAGAAATAGATTGAAAATTTTTAATTTACGTCAAATTCTCTATAAGATAAGCTAGTTAAATAGAAAATCCAAAATAAAACTGCATGAGCACGGCCGCCGGCAACAAAACGCGGCCACTATCAGTTTGCGCTAAGCTCGCTGAACGTGACCCTGGTGAGCGCTTGTTCATTTCTCTTCTCGACTCAAGGCAATTCAAAAAGATGTTTATGCACAAATACTTATAAACACAGAATGTCATGAAGGATTGAATAGATAAAAATACACAAACGCACCAATAACGACACGAGTTTCACGCACAAATCATTGTTTGCAAAACACTAAACATGTCTATGGTCTTTAGATGTCAGCCAGACATCATTTATGCGAATATATAACTCGGTTAACGGTCCCCGAAATATGACGCAATTTCCTCGATAAGTTTAAGAAAATATGAAAAATTGTCAAATTTGAAAAGCGTTTTAGAAAATATTAAAGATTGTCAAATTTAAAAATCGATTTTCACGCGATTTCGCGGGATGGCAAGGGCGCATAATTGAAATTAACTCCCGATCTTTCAGAAAATTAAGAAAACACACCAATACTGCAATACTTGCGAAAACTTGTCAGCCCGGTCGCGTCAACATGGCATCTAACAGTTATACGGTTGATATTACTTACGAAGTATCATTTCCAGTCGACGTTTCTCTGTAATCCATACATATCCAACATCCGACAGATAGTCAATTCACGTTTTTAAATGTTCCACACACGCAAAAATACCAGCAAAACATGAAATCCCCAACAAAGTTTGCCACTAATTAATGGCATCGGTATTTTAATCGAAAATAACGCGATTTATGGAATTAAATCATACGAAACATCACGACTCACGAGAAACACCGCACAAGGTAACCGAACAAAACTCGACTAAAATATATTTCCGACAATGGCAAATGATAAGATGGGACTGTCCGAATACAACATACTTCAGCACTGCGCGTGGTTTCACGCCGTACGCAAGATTCACGAATGTAAACAAGCAAGTTACTGATAAAAACCCAATGCGATGCACAAAATCGCGTGATCTTACACGGACACGCGGTAAATATCCATATAAGGCGATGTTGCGCTCACTACTACCTGCACACAACGGACTGTGATAAGCGCGCTTAGAATTTAAAGCAAATATGTTCATACTAGCGACCTCTTGCTTCACATTATAGAGTTACATTAAAGTACATTGCTGGCATGCTTGATCTGAAAAGGCCACACAAACGCAGTGGATTCTAATATCCAGATTAGCAACATGTTTGTTTCATGACAAGTACCACAATATTTAAAAATGCAACACATTTCATTTTAACGTTACAGATGAATTCGTAGCCTTAACAAATAATGTAATAATGCTAATTGAATCCATACAGCATGCATACAAATTAAAAGAAATTATATATTAAAACAATACTTTTATACTCTCCTGGTGACAAAGTTCTCTTTTATTAAACTTAAAGCACACTCTTCTGAATTAATTTATAATATATTTTTAGTGTAAAGTATATGTAAGATAATAAATACAGTAGCTTATTTTGTCCAAGATACTTTTGGAATATCAAAGTGTTCAGTTAAACTATCAAGATGCTGGTTAAACTTTTCTACTCTTTCCTTATGTGTCATATTGGCTTTATCCAGAATTCTTTTAATTTGCTGCAATAATAAGTATATAATTAGTTTTGTGAACTCATGCAGATGTACTGCAACACTTACATTTTTCTCTTGCATTTTCTTAAAAGCCAATTCAGCATTGGTCTTTTTCAATTCTGGTGCTTCCTTATCTTTAACAATCATCCTTGCTGCCTCTTCAAGCTTCTTTTCCTTGTCCTTCTTTTTCTTCTTCTTCTTAATTCCTGAATCTCCTTTTAGACTAAGTTTACCTTTCGCAACATGTTGATAGGGATCATCAGCCATTCTAAAATTAAGTATTACTAGTATTAAACAAGTATGTTTTATCAACTTTAAGGTGATAAATGAACACAATTTATTCTATATTTGCAAAATAACTGAAACAAACAAAGAAAAAACTTACTTTCGACTCTATAATAATCACAAATAACCTCACTGATTTGTTATGATCAGTCTGAAACGTAGAAATACACTTTATCTGCATTTGCATACGACGCCATCTACAGATTACATTCAAAACCATTTATTTGACGAAATACAGATTTCACAGATGATAACGTATGAAGGAGAATAGAGGTCAGGATAGATTTGTTTTATAAAAAGCACAATATAATATTATAACTGATAAGCAAAACATATTCAAGTTAGACATACAAATCACCAAATCTTCTAAACTTTAGCATTCGTCGCTGGGTATCCTCGTGCATCCAACTCAGTAATGCGGAAAAGACCGCCATGATGAATGCCAGGGTTAATCACTCCATCAATGACTATGTTAGCGCTTGTAACATACAATTCATCCAAATTAGGACCACCCCACGCTACAGAAGTCACCTGTTTAGCAGGGACTTGAATCTTTTGAAGCAAAGTCTCTGGCTGCCTAGGATCAATTTTAATAACACAAGATCCATCAAAAATGGCCACCCAAAGATTGCCGTCTGTGTCAATGGTCATTCCATCAGGAATACCTTCAATGTTATTCTCTCTCAACGAAAAGATTGGCTTGCGATTTGCTAAAACAATTAAAGTGGGTTTAATTACAGCATTTTAGTGATTGACTTTCTAGGTTTTAGAATCTAGCAATTTTTATAAAAATCCATTAACTAATTGAATCGTTTCAAACGTTTTTTGGTAATCTTTTAATTGATTTCAATTTGGTGCAAGTTTTAAGCCGTGACAATAGCACAGATACGAGCAAATTACTTACAAATCGTAGCTGTTTCTTGGTCGTACTCGAACTGATCGATTGAATACTTGTAGGAGTCGATGTAATAAAACAAAGTGTTATCCTCGTTCCAGGCGAGCCCGTTGGGAATGCTAATCCCGTCGAAATGTGATTTAACGCTGCCATCATGCATCAGATTGTAGAGTGTACCACGGTTGCGCTCAATGTGCAGACGTTGTGGCTCCGGCCCCATGGAACCTATCAATCAAACCCCCATTCTAAATGCACAAATTTGCAGCTGGCATAATCAGCGATCGCGATTGCAATATCGATAATCAGAACACAATTAGCCGCACTTACCGAACCAGAGGCGTCCCAACGGATCACATTTAGCATCGTTGATTCGATGACCTGCCGGATTGCCCTCAACTTCGGCGATTATCTGCGGCGACACTTTGCATGCACTGCCGTCCCAGTCCACGACGCCGAGCTGGTTGTTTACCGTGATTAGGAATCGGTTGGATTGACCTTCGACCGGTATTATCACCGACGGCCAGCCTTCATCTGCGAAACAAGAGAAACCAATGTCAATGTCACGCACTGCAACTCAAAAATCACTGCTAATTATCCCACAATGCTTACCTACATGTGCAGAGACACATTTATTCGTCTCCGGCGTGTACTTAAACAGATTCCGACTGTAGATATCCACATAGTAGAGGCTTTCAGTGGCTGGGTCCCAATGCGGTCCTTCAAGAAGTTCACCACTCCCGGCTGCTTCAATGCGTTCCACTGACATTTCTTCGACAAGTGCCTACTTCAACTGTTGCTCGCGAATGGCCCGACTCGTACTGACAACTGATCTAATGCAGCGCAACAAGTCCACTTGGGGCACTTGGGTTTTAAACGCACACGCATCATTAAGTTTATTATCGCGCTTGTCAATTTATAAATATGTAACTCATTATTTAATTTAGCCGATTGTGTGGCGACAACGGGCGGACATTATTGTTCATGGCGCTGTTAATTACTCGAAAGTTGGCGCGCAGACTGCGCTGGGAAAGTCAACGACCTTTTGTTTGGCGATGAGGGCTGCATGAAATGATTTCGTATCATCCGTCTTAACTTTGCTAATTGATAGGTCACATAATGTGCGTTTACAGTGTTAGCATAACATTGAAATGGCCTTGTGACATTTTAAAAAAATGGGTGGCATGATTCTCGCGGATTAAATCTTTTAATCAGTAGAAATTTAGTTTATGAGACCGAGTTTATAAATAGATATTAGATAATATTTAATTAATATTATATTAATCTATTTTCATTGTAATTTTTTGTGTTTTTTTATTTTTGAAAATAATTTTAAACGTTTTGAGATAACATCGTCATTGTTCATTTTTCTAAAGTATTTTGTGAAGCGTAATCCAATTCGTTCTTGGTTGGAAAAGTAAATCCGAAGCGCCAGAAAAATTTCCGCCCGCAAAACACACAATGCAGTGAGCGTAAAGCTCGCATAGAACAAAAGGAAAAATTGCATTAAATCTACACGTTTTTCACTTGTGCTTTTGCGCATAGTTTGAATTGCGTCATTTACGCGCGAGCGTTAACGTTAAATGCTAAATGCCAAAGCATTAAAATGTTATGCTGTGTAATCATTCAAAACGCCTTTCAGGTTGACGACACTTACTGAAAGTGCTTCTGTGACTTCAACTCAAATAAAATACAAATTTCCATTTCTAAAAACACTCAGTATTCATAATTTTTTTCAACTAATTTTTTACAAGTAATAAATATCGTATCACAAATTTGATGCAAATAATAAAAAGCGCTAATTCAAGAAGTTTCCTGAAAACGAAACGAATTTCGTTTAAATTCGCCCCGTGAACAGGAGGCGACTAATGAGACGACGTTTAATTAACAGAGCGTCGTGCGCGCGTATCTTTCGCGTAATTTCATTCAGCTTGTTCTCCAGACGCCGGCTGGCTTCAATGGCGGCCGTATGACACGGGCCATTAGGCTAAAAGACGCTCGAAGAAAATTAATCTTTATGAATCGACTCATCATTACATATATAATTTGATGACGTACATTCACATCACCTCGTAAAAATACAACATACGCACACACTTTATATAGATAAACACAAACGCGGTGTTGGGAGAGGAGGCGGCGCGAAATCAAGTGAATTCGTTGCTTTCCGGTCGCGTCAAGCGCCCCCAACACTGACGAGTTATCACATCCACCCCCGATTTGATTCGCATACATGACGCACGCACAATTTTTAATATCGTGACGCCAATACAATGGTACAACGCGCGTGTCAGCCACGTCGTGTTCTTTTTGATCATGACGGACGTGATTTTTATTTGTTTTAAATTAATCCGATGGTTAAGCAGGCGTGTGTCTGGCGATGTCTGCCGAACTGCAATCGATCACTATATATATTGGAATTTAACGACTCATTTGAATAATTGTCGATAATTGCTTTTATTTTAATGTTGAACTAATCACTTGGAACACTGTTCATGAACGCGCTGATGATTTTATCTATATTGCATATTAATATTTTAATTGAATGAAGATTGGAGGGCCGGTCGAATTGTTTACAAAAGCGGAAATAAGCAATTATAAAAAATGTGTGTTTCCACAGTTTGTGGAATCATAAAAAAATGTTTTGCGCTGTTCGTTTGTAAGTGGATTACAGAAAGCATCTTTAACATCTTCATTAAGATGTTATTGATTTCGGGCGAGTCATTAATAATGATTAATGTTTCCGAAAAAATTGCTTGCATAAATAAAAGACAATCAATCATCATTTTGCATCGCATTTACAAGAATTCAATTCCAATTAAATTTTAAATTAAAAGTTATCGAGTTTCAATTGCAATTCAATTATCGGTCTATTAAATAATCCAAGAAGTTTTTTGATATTGAACACTCATTAAATTTTATTATCCTGTTTTAAATTATATTTTTTATTGTGGCATTAATTGAAAGTTTGAAAATGAAAGTTAGGTATTTATTTATAATAATTATTAAATTTATTGTTTTATCAAATGCAAAGTTCATGATTTTTTAATTTAAAAAAAAACTGAGATATTCGGAATTCCACAAATCAGAGCTAACAACTCAACACTGACGTCACTTCCCCCACCAAAACTCAATAAGGTGTATGTAGAGTTGCCTACTAGAGTTGACGTCACAAGAAATGCCAAGCGTAAAACGCAAAAACACAAAAATGTAATTTTTAATCAATTAAAACAAAAATTACTTCAAAACATCTAAATTCATCCCAATATTAGATATTTCCGAGCATTGTAAGACAGTTTTTCAAAAAAATTTATAATATTTATTGTGAATAAATTTAAACTATGAAATTTATTATTAAAGCTTCATTAAAGTAATGCGTGCAGGTGTGAACGAACTGAAAGCTATTTATTATGGATATGCTTGGAAGTGTTTAAGGCAGTAGATCATCTACATCCCCATTGAACCATTAAACCTTACCTGCGTTGCTCGGCCAAGCAAAATAAGATCATCCTAGCGACAAGCTCGGCTGAGTGCGACTTATGTGACAAATGATAAGGGTCAACATGTCATCCTAAAAAGCCGATGGAGATCGAATAAATAAAATATTTCCTGAACGATATCAAACGCATCAATAGACTTCTATTTTTTCTAAATTTTAAAATAAATCTATTACTTTATATTGATTAAAATGAACAATAAAACATAAAAATGTAAAAATGTAATGTTTTGCCATTTAGAATAATGTAATAAATGATTTAACATTTTGATTTAAACACAAACGTTGTGAAACCTGTAAAAAAATAATATTTACATTTTATTCTTTGTTGTGCACGACAAAAACATTTTTCAGATGTATCGACCGCGCAATGACAAGAAAAACCCTCCGCAAGCAAAACCGCGCAGAATATCACTGTATTATATAGCCTACAGAAAATGCCATAATTCATCTCAACCAAGATAACATTTCAACATCGCTATTGTTATATAATCGTCATGGAACGAACCTTGAATAAGCACATTTTCGCACCTAATCCATGCCTGAATGCTGAAAATTAGTGAAGTTGATGCTAACAATAGCATATGCATACGAATACGCAATACAATGAATTGGGGCGGCTAATAAGAGAGTGTTAAAGTTTTGAATGGGTGCACAACATGGCTACTTATTCCAATAACCGAGAATCTAAAGCAAAGTTAGTGTTTGTGTTGCGTAGGCGCTGGATTGCGGATTGTGATGTGTTAACGGTCGGGCGTGTTACGGAAATTTGCACCAAAGAACAATGGATGTTTTCTATTATGCTAGTGACTGCAGAGATTGCAGTCCACAGTTTCATTTACATCTGCTGAAAATGTTCACTGTTTCGTATAAAATTGAGGCGGCAGAAAGACACGGAAATGTTCTTTCATAAGCTTTTTTAGTTCAATTTGTACATCAACAGGCTAAAAATAACAAAAATTGGAATTTTTCATTCAATTTCATGAAAATAACATGAAATTAAAGATTTGAACTAAACCTAAGCATGAAAAATTTGAGGTTAAGATTGAGTATGCTATTAATGCAGTTTGCGCCGCTGCGAATAGATGGCGACACTTTAATGCAGTTTTTCGAGTTTTAAAAGTTGCCTAAATCAAATTCTGATATTCTAACCTTAAATAATAATTTAATAATTTTAAAAACCTACCACTTACTTAGGACACATTTTTGTTCCCTTTGATTAACTTATCCCCCGTTATATATTCTCGTAACATACGATTGTCTGCCATTTATCGCCCGTGATTCGTCTTGATCTATTTTCGTATTTTTATTGTTTGGAATATTATTACCGAAAGGATTTGTTCATCATTCACATTTAGTATATTTGTGTGGTTCTTATTTTTATAGATCATTATTTAGTGTTTGCCTAACTAGATTGGCAATGTTTCTTTTTGAACAAGACCGAAATTAATAACAACACGTCGTAATAAGTTTTATCGCCATTAACGCTTTGAACTATCTTCCAACGGCAACTTTCAAGACTTGACCTAGGATAACCCACCTGATGAAAAAGTTTACGCGTACGTCTGATGGAAAATATGCATATACGCGCGCACAAAAGCCTACAATATCGATTAAAATGTAAATTTTCACAGTTAGCGAACCGAAAAAAAAAATTACAATATGCTGCGTTTTTCATTAACACACATTGCAATTGATGCACCGAGCGTAAATAAAGAATGAATGCGAAATAACAACCATGCCCTTTTGCATTTCAATCGCTTCATTCATCCCCCGACCCAAAACACGCATCATTTTCGATGATTATTTATCACTCCCACATTCGCGCTGATAGAGTCATACTCGTAGTCATTCGATGGCTGTGTGCCTCTTTCGAAAGAGTCGAAACGCACGCCGTGCGCGTGTGTGTTGTGTGTTCTACGGTTGGGAATGACCCGATCAGGGCGCATGTCACGGCCCTTATAAAGACGCTTTTCGACGTCGCGACGGCCACAACCGCCGCGCTCCCGCATCGGTCTCCGCACACGCAAAAACACCTTCGAAAAAGATACACTCCGGCGTAGCGGACGCAAAACACAAAACAGACTAAACCGCGACGCGATAACTGAAAATTCTACAAAAAATTAAAATTTGGCGGCGGAGTAAAGTATTTAAATCGGTTGGGAATAATATTGGCTGAATAATAGAGGGCTGTCGTCGGTGCGTGTCGCGACGAGTTTTAATTCGATTTCAACCGCACGCAGCGAATATTAGCGAATTCAACAAGTCTCGATTGCGCGGCGTGATTTCGTAAGCTTTTTTTCTTCCCGGGTGCGAAAGCTTACGCTCAACCGATTGGCAACCTGTTGAACTTTCTCAACTCGATCGTGCTCGTAACAAAGGTAAGTGTACAACTTCGCTTTTTATACAGTTTGCGACTACTCGACTGCATAATCATTGTGTAACACATCAAAGAAATAAATTTCCAGAATCAAAGAATATAAAAAAATGTTCTTTTGCGTATAAAATTGGATTGTTCATAAAATTTACGAGTTCGCATTTTATACCGACGTTTTTATATCGCATGTAGTTGGAGAAATCATTTAATTTTGTTGTAAATAAAAAATAATAGTTATGAGTTCAAAAGTTCAAAAAATCGCTCAACAAATACCAGCGAACTCATAAATGTTATGCAAGAATAATGAAAATTAAATGTCAATACCATTACGCGCTTGAATAATATTATATCCATTATTTTTGATGTCATTGAATTAAATTAAGGCACATTTTCATAAAGGAAGGCTGCTTTTTTCGGCTTCTAGCAGAAAAAAATAATATATTCAAAGGAAATTGCGTCCGAAAATTAAATGGTAAATAATCGGGTAAGTTGATATACACAACACGATAATAAATTGTCGTACACATTTTGAGATGCGTCTAAAAGCAACTTTTTAATGAGCAGCAATATCTGTTTACAAGACGCGCAGGAAAAGCGTAAATTGAATAATCAGATGATGAAGATACGGTTGAAAAAATATTTTTTTGCCAATTTTATGTAACCTTGGCATAATTTTTTAAGAAAAATTTCAGTTCATATGAATTTTAAAAAAATAAGAAATATAACGCTTGTAAAAAGTGTTTGGGCACAAATTTTACAAAGCCAATACATTTTTAAAAGTTGATCTATACTTTAGCCTTTGCGACGGTAAAAATGAAAAATGATTAAACTTCAAAACAAAAAAAAATGGAATTTTAACTTTTTTTTAATTTTAAGTTAAAATTAATTTTAAAAATATAAAAAATGTAATTTTCAAAACATTTTTCGTTAAAATGTATTTACAACGACAAAAACAACTTTTTTCTCTCTATATTTCAGATCAAAATTAAATTTTTACACCAAACTTGCAACTTTTTGTCGGCAATTATTCACAAACAGAAAAGTAACACAAATTCAATAAAATTTTCAATCAAAAACTAAATTTCATCAACTACAACAAATACAAAAAATAACACGTACTAAATCAAGCCCGGAATGTGCAGAATCGAACGCGTCAATGCACTTTGCGCCCGCCAATGCCGCACCTTGAAACTTATAAATAATTAACGCAATCAATTATGCAGGTTGGGCAATTCGCAGACTATCGATACACACCATGCTGCTCTGCACCTACACCTGTTTTTCTGTTCGATCACGATCGCCCTCAACCACCCCGCTTAATTCTTAATTCACCCCGTGGGAGTTGCCACCATTGCCGGGAAAGTTTCTTAGGTAAACGCATTTTTCACGTACAACGCTTCATTACTCACAAGCGATTGATTTACGTCGAACATCGCGTAATAAACTTAAAAAGTTAGCTCAGCTCGTCAAAATAGAAAAATTTCTAGCCAAAAATATTATTTCATAAGTAATTAATTAAATTTTTATCCGTTTTATTTTTGTTTGTTTTTTACGTGTAAACTTTGTTCATCTGTATTTTTCGGTATTTTACTCAAGTGAACAACTTGGCGAATAATTGCGGAATTAGAAAAGTTAAAGTCAGAAGGCGTAAATTCCATTCTATTTAACGTCATAACATAATCGTGCTTAAAATAATTCGCCGACTTTTAGCGCAGAATGCTGTTTTCTTTGTCGGCGTTTTTCCATTTTCATTTGGAAGCTGTAGGATTCTTCAGTGCACGCGCAGGTAAAGAAGGAAGTATGTAGGTCAAACTCGTGGTTTTCGGATCTCTTTAAACGTAGTAAATTATTTCAAATTTATTAAATTTTCTTCCCTTTTAAAACACAAGTTAATTGATAAAACTAACAATGTAAATATTAAACCTAAATTGAGTTCCAAAGGTTGCAAAAGTTGGCAAAATAATGACGTCATTGCACTAATTTCAACATGTCCGCCTACATTGCGCAAGTAAGTAGTTCGTCCCAGTTGAAGCAGTTGAGTACCCGCGTTATCAACGGCGAAGAATTCATCATGCCGGTTTCGCAAATTCGCACGCCTACAAAACTTTCGTCCGGCTATGGCGAAAATCGTCGTTATGCGCGACGCCAACAAATCAAAAGCGGCGGTGGCGGTGCTAACTCGCCGACCAGCATAACGCGCCACGCTTGTAATGAATTAATTTTCGACTAATTTCTCGCAGCGAACTTGCCACTCTGGAGATTGCCGAACACGACCATCCTGTGCACTATAATTAGCAATATTCATAAACGCTGTGTGCTACTTCGTGTTGAGTAATTTGTTGATTTAAATGTACAAAATTCAATAATTTAAGAAAAAAAAATCGGTTTTGTTGAAATTGTGGAAGTTTTCAGTTCCAAATTTAGAGAATGCTGGTTGTATCGAAAAAATTAAGAGCGCAAATTAAAGCGACGCTATCAAAACTCAAAAAATCTTTATTTTTGTATTTTTTTAAATTTAAAAGAAAAATTTGGAAAAAAACGACAAAAATCAATTGAAATCTAATATTTATGGTATTTATGTTAATAACAACTTAAAAACTTTAATTTTTGTGTTTGTAAACATTTGCCAAAGAAAATATTAAACTCCAAAACGAAAAAATCTTTTTTTTTTGCAAAAATAAAAATTACTTCTGAAAATGCAAAAAAAAGTACTTAATTATTTAGCTTGACAACTAAAAAATACTATGATACAATCCTCTATAATATTTTTCCTCTTATAATATGATGACACAATTCCTTCCCGACGGTCTCATGTGCTAATTAAATTTTTAACATTCTTGTAAAACTAACTACATTTAAAAAAATGCCATTACTTTCCCTCACGCACGTCACACGAGCAGCGCGCACCAGAAACTTAATTTATTTCGAAGAACAATCCAATTAACAAAATGTAATTAACTCCTGGATATCGATTCAATTTTTTATCACGCTTCACAACAAATTAAAATTGATCCATTTTGATTCCGGACGCATTTTTAATTGCCCTCCACTATTATATAAACATCTAAATATGATGCCCCGGGGGGAAACAAAAATAAATAAACTTTTTAATTGCCTTTGATGACTTTATATCGCATAAATCCAATTTTATGATGATTTTCCAGCCGGGCAAGTTTAATTTTACAACTTTTATATGACTTCATTTTTCAAGAAAACTACAAAGTTTTCATTATGGACATTACCCAAACTCATCACTGTTAATTAACAGCGTAATGAACATAAATTGAAAATTAATCGAAAATATTTGTTTAGGCAATAATATATTGATTACTAGAGCCATCAAAGTATACATATACATAACTTATAACAGTTTCAAACTAAAATTTTGTGAGTATCACAAATAATTAATGCATCCCTAATCCTATGACTTTTTATTTTTATTTATATTTACTCGTATTAATTTTGTAAACGCATCCAAACTTTCTCATAGCACGAAAGCAGTCGCACGGAAAATATTTCCATAATACGATAATAATATAATACCAAACAAACTTGAAACTTTATGCAAATTTATTTAAATACCTAGTTGTAAAATTCAAAACTTTTACATTTTTTGTTAATAAATTTTAAAAAATACCATTGCAACACAATGTTCAGTTCAAAAGGATACTTTTTCATACGATATTCTGTATCATATTGCGTAAATCTTCGTATTAAACAACTTCAAACATTTTCTATGTATTTTATCGCTACAAAAGAATATCAAGATACAAACGCGTAAAATATCGCATATCAAATGGGAGTTGAAGATATTAAAATGAAATAAATTTCACACGTAACTTTACTTTGCTGTGACCAATTACGCGAATCGAGTGAGTTCTTCCTGTGTGTAACATCGCTTAACGCATGAGTAGACGCCCTTTGTATCCGGAATCCCAAATGCAGCTACCATCATCTCGTTGGGGCTCATTATGCGCTTGCCGCAATGCAACGCACGGCGGCACAGGCGCTCCGCGTGTTGATTACGTTTTAAATTAAACAATGTCGCGCTGCTAGTGCTATTATCGCATTACTGCATTAGGAATACTAATTGGGGCTTTCATTTAACTGAATAGCGTTTAACACGAGTTAAACATGATAAACATGTATAAATTGAGACTAAATACAAGAATTAAATATAAGTCATTTAGATTAAATTAATGAAACAGGTAAAAATGAAGTGTAAAAGTAAGAAAATTCAAAAAAATTGATTTTTCTTTAGTTAAATACTAATTTTTAAAGCTATAGATTAATTTTCTCGGTGCAACGACAAAAAATATTTTCATTCACAGCAATTATGACCTAGAATATTTTTTTAAAAGATATGACATCGATGGTAACATTTGAAATATTGTTGTAATTATGATCCCAACATCCCTACAAATTGCAATGCAAATTTCTATAATTTAACCACGATTTTTTAGCTAATTTGTTGGGGTGCACGTTGTGTTACAACAAAATCGTTTAAACATAACACAAATGAATACAACTGAGCGACGCGGAATTCATATTTAGACTTCAAGAAATATTTACCGGCATTTTTACAAAAGTAATTGAATTTATAACCAACTTAGACGAAATTAGACAGATGTCAATCCGCGTAAAATACCAATATTTGATTATTTTTTGTCAAAAAAGTAAAAAATTACGAACTAAAATATAATTTTTTACCAACAAATACAAAAATTTAAGCAAAAATATTTTACTCATTGTAAAAAATGTATATGTCCAAACAATATACAAAAGTTTTTCACAAAAACTCATGATCGCACTTCATATTATAACTAGTTTTGTAAAAATTGATCAAAAAGTGATATTTTCAAATAAAAAATGTAAATTAAGCAATAAATTGCGACTAAAATCCATGTTTCTTCCAAATGTGACATTTTTTATCCCCTGGTATTGCCTCTGTAGTATTTTGTAGACATGTATGCAAAATAGTATCAGCTTGTTGTCGAATAAAGC